CCATGGTGTTAAAGTCAGCAGGACACGGCCTCTTATTTATCATTCAACTAAGCCTCATTTACCACCCGCATTAACTGCTTAATGAACACAGGTTTCTTGTCTGGATCTGAAGTCAAAGAAGGTTTGTTTTTCTGTCACCATCCATTTAGGTTTTGGGCTAATGTATGGATTACCTGAGTTGTACTTGTGAGATCATAGAGAAATCAATTTATTGGGTTTTCATCTGTACCGACTGCCCTGGACAGCCAATATCTGAGCCTCTATTTGGCTCAAAATCCCTTTCCTGGCCCTCTATTTATGTAAGTAAACCCACAGTTTTTTGAAACATGCTGATAGCTATGAAAGGCTGGAAACCCAATATGTAAAAAGATCATCAGGAGTCTGAGAATGAACTTGACTGAAAAGTGGTCTGTCAGCACTATCTGTAGAAGCTCAATATAGCTTGTGAGGGCACAAAATGAGACTTCAATACTTGTGCCAGTTTGAGTGTGCCTGAATAATATATTAATCCTTGGGGAGTCTAAGAGGCAACGTGAATCTTTTAATTAATCAGTGGCCTAACATAATAATCAGATGCCTTTAACCTTGCTCCGAGTCTTGAAATCTCACTTCAAGAATGACTTGCTGACAAAGGGTAAAAGGTTTTGTTTCTAAACATTTCCCTTATTTCTTACTTTTAGTCATGTATTGTCTCTCTAGGTAATGGGTGCAATCACAACCAGTTATGCAATTAGGCTAAATAGATGTGGTGATGTGTGTGTAATTTTGATGACAGCTGTAAAAACCTCTAACAAACTACGTTTAAGAGTGTTACAACACATATACAGTAGAGAGACTTGAAAGTCATGGCCATTATGGAAATCATGTCTTGCAAAATAAAAACTGATGAGTCCATGGTAAAAACAAATGTTCTTAGAAGCTTGTTTTGAAAAAGAAATCAGAACATTGTAAGTTACACAGCTCAAAATAAACTTTCAATCACGGTTTGATTAGCTGGTTCAGCGATAAGTCAAAGTTAGCTGCGTGCATCCTTATAACACAAAGAGTAACTTTCTGCTAGACCAGGACTTTACTTACCACTCTGCAAACTTGGTTTTACTGCTGACAACAGGTCTGAGTCAACTAACAGAATTACAGCCTTCATGTTGGCACAGCCAATGTGATGCAGCAGCAGCTGTGTGGCAGCTCAGCCCCTTCTAGATCAGGCCAGCATTTGTTTCTGGCTCAAATATCCTTTTAATCTTTATATAAAGGGCCAGATTCTGCTCTCAAATGTGTTTGTGGTTCCCATGTTAATGGAACGCTCGGTTATCTCTTGGGATAAAGAAAATCCCACTACTGGCTCCAGCTCTTTTGCTCATTAGAAACCCAGTGTTGAGAGTGCTGGCAGAAGAAATCAGGTTTTCTATCTGCAACAGCCTTATTGCTAAGAAGTGGTCAAATAATTTTCTCTTGAGACCACATAGGAAGACTTTCAGCTATATTTCAATTATATTTTGAAACAAAAAGTATCTGTCTTCTGTCAAGAAGTTGATTTTCTAACCCTTAAGCCCAAGACATGAGCAATACTTCAGCCAAATACTCAATTATTTGAGCAATATATTCTTCTAAATAAATAAATACGAATATATCAGAATGTCTCCTAGGAAAAGGCCAGTCAATTTATTGATCACTACCCAGGGCACAGCCTTGATACCTCCCAGGAGCCTTCAGCATCAGGTTGTGTAGTTGTACCCCTGGTTTGGAATGGTTCTAGGTATGATCAAGTAGTACAGGTTTCGACACTAGCTACTTTTCATCATGAGAAGCAAAAGTTAGAGAAACATGTTAAAACAATTGCCAGAGACCCACTAGAAGAAATGCAGAACACCTCACTCTGGACTCCAACTGGCCTGTTTTTATAGGTACAAATATGAACATCTTGCCAGTGATTTCTTACTCACACACTTTTCTTTGTGCAGGCCGAGGTATGACTTCATAGAATCATGGAAGCACAGAATCATTCAGGTTAGAAAAGACCTTCAACATCGAGTGCAACCATAAACCTAATACTGCCAAGTTCCACTGAACCGTGTCCCTAAGTGCCATGTCTACCTATCTTTTAACTACCTCCAGGAATGGTGACTCCACCACCTCCCTGAGCCTGTTCCAATGTTTGATAATCCTTCCAGTGAAGAAATTGTTCCTAATATCCAATCTAAACCTCCCCT